GTGTAACTCTCAGGGCCCAGCTGCAAAGCCGCTCAGTGTCAGATGATGTAGATGCCTGCTGAAGTCAATCATCCAGCCAACCGGTGGCCCAGAATCATAGTCTGTCAACATGCTAGCACTGGCGGACTGGCACAGCTGTGCACTGGCACTGGGCCTCTAGTGGAGAGCGTCTTCCACGGCCTCGGGGCAGAAAAAGGCGGCTTGCAACTTCGACTGTGGCCGCTCACAATGCCTCATTGAATATCCTGGTCACAACCTGAAAACATTCGCGCTTCATTCTTCCACGACTCAGGCAGCCACTGCAGCCTGGGCCAGGTCGGTGCTGTCAAAGCCTTACTGCAGTCTGCACGTGTGCAACCAGAAAGGAAGAGACAGAGAGGGAAGGAAGAGCAGTCTGCTCTGAGAGGTAGAGATGCGCCGTCGCGGCACATTTCAAGGATCGAGCCACCGGCACGTTAGTGCCTACAGTTCTGCACCTCGCGGTGCACCGGTTGCTGACACTGCGCCGTCGCGGCACATGCTCTGTTGTCCTCTTCTCTGCGCCATCGCGGCGCATCTTCTCTGTCTCTGCGCCATCGCGGCGCATCTTCTCTCTTTGTGCGCCGTCGCGGCGCATCTTCTTTGTTTCTGCGCCGTCGCGGCGCTATCGTCGTCGTTGGAGTCGTCATTGTCGTTGTCGTCTCGGCGCCATCGCGGCACCTTTTGACTCGGCCACCTTGTTCCCGAGCTTGCCTGCAAGACCCTGAAAGGTACGCGGGGTATTCAGGGCTGGGCGGGTCCTAGTCTCAGAAGTTACTTTATAGGGTTTGGGGATTAGGGCTACGGGTTGGGGGTTCGCGGTTCAGGGCTTGAGGCTTAAAGGCTTACAGGCTTAAGGCTTCGGGGATTAGGGCTTTTGAGTTGTGGTGTCTTGGGGGGTGGGAGTCTAGCTGTTCTAGGCTTGGGTGTGAGATGTACGGTACCGATCTAGAATCTATTGCTCCTACACTCATGAAGCAACGGGCCTACATCTCGAACCTGGTAAAAGAAGCCTATTCTTACACTAGCCAAGAATTATATAGGGCCTTGAAACCACGAAACCACATGGCATGTGTGCACATGTCGCGGCTGCAGAAACACATGCATTCTGTTTCGGTGACATGAATTTGATGTGGTCCCACGAATTGCAAACCTAATTTCGATGACCTCAAATGTTGGAAACTGCTCGAACTGTTGTTGCCTAGATTTCGAACATCAACGATAAATCGAAATAGGGCATTTATGTTTTGAAACATACAGAGTATTTAAAAAATAGTTTCCAACCATTACTATCTTTTCTAGTTTGGGCTACATCGACCTCAAATATTTGAAACTGCTCGAACTGTTGTTGCCTAGATTTCGAACATCAACGAGAAATCGAAATAGGGCATTTGTGTTTTGAAAAATACAGAGTATTTAAAAAAATGGTTTCCAACCATTACTATCTTTTCTAGTTTGGGCTACAACTCAGGGACTTTGATTCTTTCGCTGATACATAAGCGTCATTCATGACCCCCCCCCCCCGCTGTGAGTTTCAGTCGCATCTAGGCCCTCCCCCCAAGATTTTTCTTGCACCTTTTCCAGCCCTGTCGAAGGCGGAAACACACCAGGATTTAAAAAAAATCCTTTAACAAGTGGCCAGCATGGGCTGCCTGCAAGAAGATGCGACTCCAGATGGGGCCCGCGCGGGCCTCGCACAGGATCCCTAACACATCAAACACCTCATCAGAAGTCACGCCGGGGTCAAGGACAACTGTGCATATGCCTCCCCTGATACATCGCAAGTCCACTGGCCAAGCAAGCTGTCCGGGTGGAGCTGACTTGGGGGTGAGGACAATTTGGGGCTCCGGCAGCTGAGGGATGGCTGTGGTAAGCAGCAACGCCGCCCCCACCTCCTCGGGGCAGGAGGCGATTGCATCCGAGAAGTACTCGGCTAAAGTCCACTGGGGATGCGCCCTCCGTTCCTCAAGGTGTCGCTTAGGGTCCAGTGCGCTGAAGATGTGCCGGGCTGCATCTTCCTCTGCCGAACCACAGAGGCCGAGGAGGCTCGCTGGAAAGTCGCAAAACGGCGGTGCTGCCAAAGCCTCTGGTAGCCGTAGGGCCGCAGACCCACAAACAACAAGGGGCTTGGAAGGGGCCCCCACGGCTGCACATCCCAAAAGGGACGGTGGATCGCTGGGTAGAGCGATGGGAACTCGAGACCCTTGTCGATCTGGGAGATCGGCGTCTGGCGTAGGTTCCACAAAAGGGCTGCTCATCGTTGTTTGATGTAGGGAAACCTGCATTTGAACAAGCGATACTCCTGCTGCTGGGCCGACCTGGGGACTTGGAACCTGCCTGCGCAACGCAATCCACTGAAGGTGCGTGCCGGGGTGTGGGATATTGGGTACGGGATGCCCATGCGCATCCACGAATTCCATTCCTCCAGTCCTGATGGCATCTCTAACAATGTCTCGGCCTCCAGGCAGCTCTCGTCCAATGGCCGCGACAATGTCCTCAAGGGTGGACCCGAGCTTGAAACCCACGGGTATCACCTCGCCGCCAACCAGACGGAGGTCCACAGGCAATAAAACAACGTCATCCGCCAGATCGTTCTCCGTAACGACGATCTGCGGCTCTCGCAGGTCTGGGATGCTCTGCGTGAGCAATTGCACACGGGTGGGGGTGCCTTCAAGCTGGGAAACCGCAAACCGACAGAACTCAAGAGGGGACCATTCACTGTGTCCTTCAATGCGCACAGCAGCCAAACCGCGCAGGAAAAGCAAATAGCTGACACGGCCTTGGAAGTGTGGCGGTACCGTGTCGTACAGCCTAAAGAGGGCAATCGGCATAGATGCTGCCGGGTGCCTGTCGATTCCGGTGGGCAGTAGCTGAGCCATTTCAAGACTATTGGGCCGTATCACTCGCTGCCCAATTTGCATGTGGTCATCGTGATACCCCGCGATGTCTCTCCGCATGGGTGCGAAGGTCGTGGTGGTTGTGGTGCATCCTCGCCCTCCAGCAGTCGTGGTGGTGGCTGTAGTATCGGTGACAGTTGCTGGTTGACCGGCTTCCATAAGGAGCCATAAAGGGCGAAGCCCTTCGAACCCCTGTGGACCGAGGATGCGCCCCATGTCTGTGCACCAAGTGGGTGTGTCTGGAAGCTGTCCTCTGGAACGGGGGGGCATGTCAGCAACGATAAGGTCGCTCAGCTCAGCATGCACAGTCCTCAAAGGAAGGTGCACCGTAATCACCCCACAACCCAGGCAACCAATGTCGCATGGTACGGCTTCCGAAAACTGTGGGGCCGTTCGGTGTGTAACCACTAGCTGCGGCTCAGGGTAGTTGGGGCGCCTCAGGACCCTCGGCTGTCTCCTGGTCTCAAACACAGTGAAGGCTAGCCTCTCACTCGGATCCTTAGACCTCGGGGCAAGACCCGCTTGAGCAAGGGGTACTGTGTAAGCCCGCTCCCAGGACTGTGGAGGGCTCGACCTGGACATGATTCGCAACAAGATAGGCAATGTTGGAAGGCAGCCTTGGAACCTTTGCCTGTTGCCTAGCCTCTGAGTGCGGCTGTAGTGTAGGTGCGGTGCAAGTCCAAAGTGACTGCACTCGCTGCGAAAGGGAAGAACCCTCCGGAGATACAGGTGCATCGGAGGGGTTTTCGCCCGACTGAGGTGATGACATGGCGTCCGGGCACAGCCATGGAGCAGAGGGCGCTGAACTGCTATTCCCCCGCAGTGAGGATCGAAGGGATGGGCGGGCACGGTCCGGTGCGGTGCACGTCCGACTCGACTGCACACGCTGCGACAGGGAAGGGCCTGTTGGACTGGCAGCTGCACTGGGGAACCCATCACCCTGCAATGAACACGTTGAAATCACTGGTCGCAGCCTTGGGAACGGAGTTGCTGCACCATTGGCAAACCTCCGACTTGAGGGTCGGAGGAAAGAGGTAGCTTGGTCCGGTGCGGTGCAAGTCCAACTTGACTGCACACGCTGCGACAGGGAAAATGCTTCGGGGTGACAGTTGCATCAGCGAGTCTATCTCCCGGGCAGTAGTACAGTGTGTCAGCATGCGCAGCAAAGGAAACGGTCCTACCCTGCCCTGTACACGGGAACTGTACACAGCCTTCAGATATTGAGCCAGCAGGAGGAGCAAAGCCTCCGCTAAACATCCGCAGTGAGCCTAGGCCCCAAGCGGGTCCTCCTTCAGCACCGGCTGCGGTCAACACCTGTTCCACCATGTCAGGCGGGTCAAGCAGCTGTGCCGAAGGCAAGTCTCCATAGGGACCCAGGATCAGCGCGCGACGTAGTACCAAGTCGCAAGCGCTGACATGAGCCCGGTCGAAATCAGCCGGGGGACACGGAACGTCAAGCGGGTCGCCATCATACAAGCGCCTGTTTCCCCAAACAGGCCACCTCTGAAGTTGCTCGGCCGCGAGTACATTTTGACACGAAACCTCAAACTGTAACGTGATAGCTGTCCAGGAGCACGTGCAGGGGCCGGCGAAGTCAGCCTCACTCAGCACGCTGTGCCGCCCACACATAACCAAGTGGCTTAGGTGTGGGCCTTGGGAAAAGGCGGCTTGGTCTCCGCAGCTTCTGGCCCAGTGGACAAGGGCTGCGCAGACACCCCAAGCTTGAAGGGAGTAGCCTTGCCTTCTCGTTTCTTGTCCGGAGCCTCGGCATCGCCCTCTGTACTGCGACGCCTGGGTGTCCGTGAGCCGTCTCGATCGCTGCGAACGTGCTCGTCCGCCCGCTTCTTGACTGCGCGGAGGGCCTCCAGAACCAAATTGGCGTCCCTTTGATGCTCTTCCTGTTCCTGGCGAAGTCGCTGCTCCGCCTCGATGGCGTCGGTCACCATTGTATCCGAGTCGACCTCTTCCACGTCCGTCGGGGCGCCGTCCAACTGCGCCAGTCTCGCCAGCGACTGTGTGGCGGCTGCCTCCTGCTGAATCCATTCCAACTAAGTTCTCGAGGATCTCTGCCTGGCTCTTGACTTGGGCATCGAGCAGGTCCATTATCTGGGCAATGTAGGTCTGCCAGGCCTTCAAATACGCCGTACGGTTTCCCCTCAGTCGTACTAGCTCTTGTCGGGCCTTGGCTTGGTCCGCCACGGCCTTGCGCAGGTCCCTGGCCGTACTCTTGGTAGAGGAGCGCTGGAACTCCGTGACCATTTCTTGAGCCGCCGAGGGAAGCCCTGACACACTCGCAAGCGTGGCCACCAAGGCTTCCAATTGCTGCCTGTCTTGAGAGACTGCTGTTTCTCCCTCGGCGCTCTTCCTGGGGGCCGTCAGAGCTGGCGCGGCAGGTGGTGCCGGTAGTCCCTCCAGCTGTGGCACAGCTATCTGAACCTACTTGCTTTTTCCTTTGCCCGCAGAGTCCGTGCCCTTGCCACTCGTCTGACCTTCGCCCTTGCCTCGTCTGCGCGGCGACTTCGGAGTCCTCATAGACCACGGCCTTGGGTTTAGGGTTTAGGGTTTAGGGGTTTAGGGTTTGGGTTTAGGGTTTAGGGTTTAGGGTTACTCTTGTAAACCTCTCAAGGTAAGCCTGGTAAAACCCGCAGCCCTGATAAACCCTTGCAAAAACCTCCGTCAAATGGTAGACGGCTGCATGATTTAAGGAATGTTCCTGAAGTACAGGTTGCCGGGCATTCTGTGCACAACAACTGGACTCTAAACCCTAAACCCTAAACCCTAAACCCTAAACCCTAAACCCTAAACCCTAAACCACTAAACCCCAAACCCTAAACCCTAAACACTAAACCCTAAACCCTAAACTCTAACTCACATGAAGTCACTGCGCTTTCTGAACTTCTGGCACCTCGGGCCCTGCCTCCTCCGCACGTTGGAGCTCTTGCTCGCGTGCCGCGGTCAGGCTTGCCTCTGCCTTTTCCTTCCTGGCAGCTTTCTTGGCTTTCTTCCTGTTCGCGCAACCATATACATCAAGCAGCATCTAGATGTGTCCGCGAGCTCGCCTAGCTGCTTCCTCCGCCATTTTGTCCGCCTCCTTCTTATCGCGCAGTGCCTGCGCGTGTTGCATCGTACTATTATAGGAGGCACTCATCATATCTCTCCTGGTGCCTTCTTCTTGCCGTCGGCAGCTTTCTTGGTCACTGCTTTGCCGGCCTGGGACGTGCAACGCACCCACTCACTCAATTCTTTGGCGCCCCTATTCAGACCCGGCCTGCATGGCCATCACCATGTCCATGTGGAGGAGGCGGGACATGGCGTTGGTGGAAGGCTTGGGCGGGCGAGGCTCGGCCACCGACGACCAAGGGTAGAGGAGCCGCGCCTGCTCCATGGGCAGGACCTGGACAAAACGTTCCTGTAGCAGTCTCCATGCTGCAGTACACACTGGCCTCCATCAAAATGGCCTCCAGTAGCCACCAGCCTAGGCGCCAGCTCCCACAAGGCGTGTGGGGCCTTGCCACAGCGGCCCACCACGTGGTTGCGGAGCTCCTGCCACTTGTTCCGTTTTAGTTCAACAGAGGCAGAGCTGTCGCGGGTTGGTGGCCTTGGGGGTCGGAGGCTTCTCTTTCCACTGCTTCCTCTTGTTCTGTGCCGCTTCCACGACTTCGTGGAAGGCCTGCGGAGCAGAATGGCTTCTGAGCAGCTTCCTTCGACTGCTTCCGTGCCGCACCTTCTCCGGCGAGACGAGGGGCAGGGAGCGGCAGCACTGGCTGCAGAGGCAGCCCTCCACGTCCCCGCACTCCAAGTTTGCCGAGCTCCAGCTGTGTTTCTGGCAGCTGCATGGCGAGAGCTGGAGAGCGGAGGTGAGGCGGACTGCTGCGTTGACTTGAGCTCGCGAGAGGCTATGCAAGCGAAGAGCATGAACAGAGCTGGATTCCTCAAGCACCCAACCACTCCAGATGCCACGTAACCCGCACACGACCTCCGCTACTACTTACGATGGATGTCTCCACGATTTCACGTTTATCTCACGTCAGTTAATATCAATGAAATCATCCGGATGTGGACTCCGATGGAGGTTTACACGTCACTGGCGAAATCTCATGTCGGTAACTGCTATTGTTTCGCTCTGCGGGCTGAGCTCCTGCTCATGCCTCACATTTCTGATCGTGAAAGGCATTCGATACAACAGCCTGTCCCCCATGTAGACACTCGATCCTACAAGCACATACTGACACACATCAGTGCCGGGTTGGTTGCAAATTTCTGGATCATCAAAAAACGCGTTGATATGATCCTTGTGAATTATCTCTATCGCAAGAAACCACATCCTGGAAGGGAAAGCAAGCGTGCACCTGCGTGATGTTCTAAGTTTGAAGTGTTATGGCCCCTCACCAGCTACCCCGCCTCCTCCGACGTGTTCTGGAAGAAGCGGGGCCCCGGGCCTTGGGATTTCGGGTGGGCGCGAAACCCCAAACCCTAAACCCTAAACTCTAACCCGAAAACACTTCCCTGCTAGAAGCCCTGCAAGACCACTGGATTGTTTAGGGTTGAGGGTTTAGGGTTTCCGAAA